CTAGAAGAAAAAAAAAAAAAAGCAACACGGTAAATGTAGAAAACAAATAGTCTTTGTTTTTGTGCTATTTTTGTTTTTACTATTTATTCCTATCGTTACATTTGATCTATCAAAAAAAAAGAAACTAGAAAAGGAGACTAAGAAGACGAAGAAGAAGAAGAAAAAGAAGGAGAAGAAGAAACAGAAATGAACAATGAATGATTAGAATTTATTGTTCAATACAACTGACAATTATCGGCTATTCTCTCTCAGTTGTTATAATATTTGATTATTTAATGAGTTTTATCATTTTACTAATAAAAAAAAGTCTTATCCAATGTTTACAATTGTCTTTTTTTGTTTGTTTATGGAAACTGAAACAAAAAAAAAAAAAACCAGCAAATTTTACAATATTTTTAGAAAAAAAAAACAAATTGGTTTTTTTGCTTTACTAAAATTGTAATGCCAAATAAACATAGTTTATTGGGTATTACATCAAATACAATTTTTTTCATTTTGTAGTCGTCAACTTAATCATTTATTTTTTTGTATGTTATTACAATAAGATTTTTAGAAATTTGGTGAAATTAATAATAATAATAATAATAATAATAATAATAATAAATAAGACAATAATAATAAATTAATTTTGAGATTTTTCGGAATCAGTAATAATAATAATAATAATAATAATAATAATAATAATAAGAAGAAGGCATTGAAGAATGATTTGTTTTTTTTTGCTTATATCGTTCTTTTTTTCTTCTGTTTTTAAGTTTTTGAAAAAAACAACAACTTTTTTTAACTGTTAATTGTCAAAAGGGGTATTAATTTGCTGTAAAACTGACTGTTACAGTGTGAGAACCAAAAATAAAAATTTTGGTTATCAGCTAAAGAACTAATTTTTTTTTTTTGATAGATGTTTTCAAAAATTGACCAATCTTTTTTCACAACATTTTTTATCTCCATTTTCTTTCCAATGTTTTTCAGCATTTTTTTTTTTTTTTCTAACTTTAGTTTTCAATTTTAGCTGTAATTTTAGCTGCAAAATTAGCATAATTTACTTCTTTTTTTTTGCATTACTGTTTCTACAACAATGGTTCAGTTTTGTTATTCAATCGTTTTGATGTTCTTTTGTCATTTACAATAACTTTACAAAAGAAAAATAGCAGTGCATAAAGACAGATTTGATTAGCAAAATTGTTAACAAATTTAAAATCTGTTAATGCTGTTTACGAGAAAAAAAAAAAAAATTTTTTTTTTTTTTTGCTTAGAACTTTTGCGGGGGTTTTGAAAAATAAAAAAAAAAATAAAACTTATTGAAATAATTGCAAAATTTGGCAAAAGAAGAAAAAAATGAAATAAAATGTGTTTATACTCCATTTGTCACAAATATATAAAAATTTGTAATTTTGTTGCTGTTTGCAAAAATGTTTGTTTTTTTTTTTTAATTTCAGAATTTTTTTTTTTGGCAATAAATTGACGCTTTTTTTTCACCACTTTCTTTTTTTCCTCTCTCTCTGTTCCTCTCTCTCTGACTCTCTCTCTCTTTCTCTCTGTCTCTGTTCTTCAATTGTGCTGTTTTTTTGCATTCTTTTTTCATCTTCTTTTTTTTGTGTGTTATTGTAAAAAATAACATTGAAATTATTTCATTGTCATTTTTTCCTTTTGCGAACAGCTCTTATGGGTTATCTTTTCGTATGGAAAAAAGAAAATGAATACAAATTATCACACCTCAAAAAAAGGTTGATTAAAAGTTTTACTAAATGTACATCACTGATGGAAAAAAGTTGAAAAAAAAAACCAGAAGAAGTTGGGGGATGAATGACTGAAAAAGGTCGGGTGAACAACAACAGAAAAAAAAAAGGCTTCAGAAGATTAGAAGAAGAACTTTTGTTGCTTCTTCTTCTTCTTCTTCTTCTTCTTCTTCTTCTATAAGGTCAGCTAACCAGTTTAGTCCTTTTTTTTTCTTTGATTTATTCTAAACATTGGTTAAATGGACAAATATTTTTTGTCAATATATCAACAAATTTTTTTTCTTCTGGTTTGTTTCTTTTCAATTTTTTTTTTTTTTTTAAACATTATTTCTTAATTAAATATGAATACAGAGAACAAAAAAAAAATTGGAAAAAATTTTGTTTGTTTATATGACGATAAAAAATATCAAGTAATAAGTCTACAAAAAAAAACCATCAACTTTTAACAACTGTACATTCACACCAATATTTTATTCGTACATACAATGAAATATATAAGCAAAAAATTGTTGACAAATCGAAATAGCTAATTGATTTGTTTTTTTTTTTTCAATTAAACTTATTGACTAGAAACCAAAATTAGTTAGTGGTTTAATTGGTAACCAAATTTTGCTTCAAAATTCGTTTTACGATTAATCTTAGTGTAGTCGTCTAAGTGTGACATAGAATTTATTCAAAAATATAATATGTGTTCAACAAAATTGCTGCTGCTGTTACTGTTGTTGTTGAATTTTTTTTTTAGTTTCAAAAAAATAGCATTGACTATTGACAGTTCAAAAAGCAGAAAGAAATATGATGATAGAAAAAAAAAAAAAACCCACTACTATCAACGGGTATTCCTATTCATCTGATTTGCAGTAAATTCAAAAAAAAAAAAACTTTAAATTTTTAAGTGTTATTGAAATATTCATTTTGTTTGAGTTTATAAAACTATCTAATTGCCAAAAAATCTCAATAAAAATGATTCACTAAAAAGAAATTGATAATAACTGTTGTTGATAAAGCAAAGCAAAGCAAAGCAAAAAAAGGCTTGAACAGTTAGTTGTCATTGTATTGGTATTGGTGTTGTTGTTGTTGTTGTTGTTCTTAGATTGATGTGATTAGTTGAAAAGGTTAGAAAAAATGACAAATTTTTTCACCGTTTTGTCTTTATTTTGAATTAAATTTTCATTGATAAATTTTTTTTTTTT